AGGCCACCAAAGCACTGAGCTAAATCCCTGGCCCTGTTTTGTTTTTTTGAGACAGGGTCTCACTATGTAGTTGAGACTGACCTGGAACTCACTATGTAGCCCACGCTGGTCTCAAACTCACAGTGATCCTCCTGTCTCAGCCCTCCCAAATGCTGGGATTACAGGCATGCACTACCATGCTGAGCAAGGGTAACCACTCTTAAAAAGATATTTGGCTGGGTGTGATGGCATGTGCCTATAATCCTATCACTTGGAGGCTGAGACAGGATGATTGTGCACTTTTTTTCTTATTTAATATTGATATGGATATTTCATTTCAAAATCACCTTGTCAATTTCTGTCACAAATCCTGCTGGGAGTTTGATTTGGATTGCATTTACTGTATAAAAAATTCTGTGATGCCAGATGTGGTGATGCACACCCTTGATTCCTGCACTTGGAAGGCTCAGGCAGAAGTATCACCAAGAGTTTGAGGCCAGTTTGGGCTATACAGTAGTTGAAGGCCAGCCTAAACTACATACCTGTCTCAAAAAAAAGAAAAGAAAAAAATATTCTGTGAGCTTTGAAATCTTACTTGTATTGTATCTTCTAATCCATGAACTTGTTGTATTTAAGTTCTTCCATCACTTTCATTTATATTCTGTAATTTTGCCTTTAGATGTTGTACATAGTTGTTAAATTTATATCTTTGTATGTTTTATCCTGCAATTTTTGGGGGCTCCACCCAAGCAGAAACCCAGACAGTTGGGTGCCCATTTGTGCTGTGTGCAGTCACAGTGCCTAAGTTGGCCTCTGTCCCCACTGGAGACCCCCCACCCAACAATGGGAATTGAACCTTGCACTTGCCAGGCAGGCACAGTGCTACTGAGCTACATCCCTGGCCCATTTTGTATGTTTTATTAGTGATATTATTTTAAGATATTTCAGTCCCTAGTTACTGAAACCTAGTACATAAAAACAGTTGACTTCTCTAGTGTCCTTTTATCCCATGACTACTAAACTCACCAGTTCTAGTATTTGCTTTAATGTCAGTTATTTTTTAGATTAAATATTTTAAAATTTTAATATTTACTTAAATTTTACCTGTTTCATTAGTTACTTAGTGTAATTCTCATTTTTTTTGTCTGTTGTCATATACTTTTTGCCTGAAGATTTTCCTTTACCATTTCCTGTAGTACAGATCAATTATAATGAATTCTATCACCTTTGTATGTTGAAAAGTCTTTATTTTTCCCTTTATTTTTGAAAGCTGTTTTTACACGGTATAGATATTAGAGTCAGAATTTTTTTCAGTACTATAAAGATATCTCTTTGTTGTCTCCTGATTCACATACTTTTTATCAGGAAGCTTGCTGCACTTACCTTTTTTTCTTCATTGGTTTTTAGACTTTCCTTTCTTCTGGTTTTAACAGTTTGAATATCATGTGTTTTGATATTTCTTGAAATTTTCCTTTCTCGGTTTCTGAGACTTGGGTGGATGGGTTCTTTAAAATATATATTTTTACCAATTTTTTTCATTTTCTCCAAATATTTCTTCCAATTTGTTCTTTTATTCTTTTCCTTTGGAATTCCAGTATGTTAGAGAATTTGATATTGTCCCACTGTTGTTAAATGCTTTATCTCTTTCCCTCTTAGTTTCTTCCATTTTAATATGTTTGATTTTGATACTTCCTACCAACCATTCATCAAGTTCACTGATTCTTCTCTGTGGCAAATCTATTGATGAGTCCCTTAGAGCACCCGGGGGACAGGGGGTGAAACCCAGAAACACCACTGAGCTCTTTACCCAGTACTTTTTATTTTTATTTGAGATCGAGCATCATTAAGTTGCTCAGTCTACCGTCAAATTTGTGATCCTCCTGCCTCAAGGTCAGCTATTACAGGTGCCTCCACCTTGCCTAGCTGAAGGGATTTTTAATCTTTTTTATCACTTTTTTTGTTTTTGTTTTTGTTTTTTTTGGTACCGGGGATCGACCTTGGGTCCCTGCACTTTCGAGGCAGGTGCAGAACCACTGAGCTAAATCCCTGACTCCTTTTTATCACTTTAAAAAAAAATACTTATTTATCATTAGTATTTGACTCTTTTAGGATTTTCATCTTTCTGCTGATATGATCATGCCTGTTTTGTGATCTTTTAGCTAGAGCCTTTAACACACTAATAATTATCGTTATTTTAACTCTGTGATGAGTTAGCCTATGGATTACCTATGTATTTTGTTCTGTTGATTGCTTTGCCCTTGACATTGGGATTTTCCTGAATTTGCTCCTATTGCATCTCATAATAGTTGGAAGCTGGACAGTGTTTAGGCAATTGAAGACCAAGTTAAATAATATTTACACTTCAAATGGCATGGGCTTTCCGCTAAGCTTAATAGCGCTGAGCTATGTAATCAGTCTAGTCAGTAGTTGAAATTAGGTTTGTCTGTTGTGGTTGCTACAGTTACCTTTAATTTGTATTTGCTTCAAGTTCCTGTTAATTTGCTTAGTTTGATGTAGGGTTTTCCTTATTGTTTTTGCTTAATCCTGCATTTTAGGCCTTTCCTATTCTCCTGTGTTTCACAGAGGGCTTTTCCCTTGTGTTCCTGCTTTTTCTCTAGTAATAAACTCTTGTTTCTTATTTCATGTTTGCTATCCTTGTTGTGAGGAATGGGGTCATTCTATTACTTTTGTAGACCAGCTTCGGTCCTAGGAATCTCCTTCGTCTTCAGTTTTGGGGTGAGGTTTTATCAAAAAATCATGTCCCTCCACACCTGAAACCTTTTATTGGTGAATAGGATGGCTTATTTTGTGTGTGCGTGCCCTCTAGAAAGGAGGACTTGTATCTTTTTCCTTTCTTCAGTATCAGTGAGTTTTGCCTGTGTTGTAGGGGTAATAGTGTTTGATCTCCCTCCTTCAGTACTTTAAACTTTTGTTTTTTATAGGACAGGGGTGCCTTTCCTGTAGAGGCAGCTACTCCCTGCTTTATCCTGTGCCAAGAGATATTTTCTCCAGTCCTCTGCTCAGCTTTCAGTCTTTTAATTATAAGCATGGAGGTTTGTGGAGAAAGAGTTTTCAAGTGAGTGCAAACTAGAGTATGCAAGTTGGTAGATTCTCTGTGTATCTGTTAGCTACTAATAATTTGTTAAATGCAGCTGAATTCTTGGCCATTTGTATTACACCTTTGTTTTCCTCCTGTCTTCAGTCGTTTGATTTACTGCTTGTGTCCAATATTTTTTTTCTTTTTATATTTCCAGCTATCTGGTCATTCTACAACCTCAGCTTTCAGATACAGTCAAGAACAGTTGTGATTTGTATTGTTTGGCTCTTTCTTGGTAGAATGGGAGGAATGTTTTTACAGTTTCTATATTCTAGATAAGTTGTAATTTCTTCATAATTAAAGATACTCTTTGAATTTTTAAATTTTTAAAACATTACAAAGTTAAAATGGCAAGTATAGTCAGTGACCTGTTCTGTAACCTTCACCAAATTTACCAGTTAGTAATTTTTTGCTAAATATGGTTTATCACTATCTTCTCACATATTTACTTGACATTGTTATTATTATTGAATTATTTGAGAATAGGGTGCCACAACCTCACAGCCATTTACCCTTCAATACTTTAATTTCATATTTAAGTTTTTGGGTTTTTTTGTTTGTTTGTTTGTTTGTTTTGGTACTGGGGATTGAACCTAATCCCATTTTTAAAAGACTTGGTAATACAAGAAATTTTCTGTATATTAGAAATTAAATACCTGTACTGACATTAAAGTAAAAGTGTCCATCAGTAATTTGTATTTATTAAAACTTATTCTGTCTGTAGGTATCCTTAATGGGACTGGAAATTTTAAGTGCCTTTGTGGACAGATTATCAACACGATTTAAGTCCTATGTAGCAATGGGTAAGTTAACTTTATTTTAAAATTATTATAGAGTTTTTTTATAGTAACTTTTTTCTTCTAGTTTTTGTTAACAGAATTATTTCTCTGTAAATTTAAAAGCATAATTTTGTGCAACTTAGCATTGTAGTTTATAGATTTTAATCTTATTTAAATAATTTTATTCTCTTTGAAGAAAAAAAAAAGAGAAACAAAAATAAAATAAAAACCTACAGACCAAAAACCTTGCTAAATACTGCTAATAGATTTTTACTTCATGCTTTCAAATTTTTTATTGGGTCTTTTGTAAAATATTAAAATTTATAGTATAATTTACTATGCTATTTGTGAAGGACTAGTTTTTTTTTTTATTGCCAGCCTGTGTCAACCAATATTTTATAAAGTATAAGGAAAAATAAATTACAGAAGAATTTAAAAAGTACAGAACCCTTTTTCTGTTTTGGTTTTGGGGATGGGGATTGAACCCAGGGCCTTACACATGTAAGCACACACTCTTTACCACTGAGCTACACCCTCAGCCCACTCCATTTTTTTCTTTTTTTCCCCAGTTTCCAGGACTGAAGCAGGGCCTTGTGCCTGCTAGGCAGCTGCTATACCACTGAGTTACATTTCTAGCATGTCCCTCCTGTCCCCGTGTTTTGTTTTGTTTTGTTTTGTTTTTGTTTGGTACTGGGGTCGAACTCTGGCCCTTGTTCTTGCAAGGCGAGCAGCAAAACCACTGAGCTAAATCCCCAGCCCCTACCTGTTTTTTAGAAGCAGCATCTCCCTGAATTGCCTAGCCTGGCCTCAAACTTGTGATCTTTTTTTGCTCAGCCTCTGGAATAGATGGATTATAGGTATGTGCCGCTGTGCTTGGCTTTAATTATTATTAGAGTCAGCAAACAAAATTACTTTGGTGAGATTGTTTTAAAACATTTTGTAAATACTCTCAGTTTCTTTACCTTAGTTTGTAGACTGGTCCTGGGCTGTTGGCCGTACTTTTGAGTACTGCATACTTAAAAGTGTGTTTGCTGTACAGTACAATATGCTAATATCATCCTGTTCGTTGTATAGAATTAGGATTACAAAGCTGACTTTGACTTATTTTCTAAACCTGAGTGACCTTCATGTGTTTTTTGGAATGCACTGAGTGAATTCAGTCCTTTTATATAGTATTACATAGAAGTATAACCTATTAGTGATTTTCTTTTGAGGATTAAGTTGCTGCCTCATAATGTCAATGTATCATCACAGTTATTTTTAAATGTCATTGTTCAGCTTTTTCATTCATGTTTGGTATGCCACCAAATTCTGTCAGTTTTTCTTTTTATGTTCTAGTAGTCTTTTCAGCAGAAGTATGTAATGGGCTTATTACACAGGTTAAATCCTTAGTTGGTTTCCAGTTCATCTTTTCTGTTAATATCTTCTGAAAAGAGATTTTTTACTCTCAGTTTTCTGCTTAAAATCCTGTAGTAGATTTTAAAAACTGTTTTGTAAATATTTTACTTGTTATGTATTTAGGAAAGTTTAATATAACTGGTAGGAACTAATAATAAAATCTTATTTTATTCATTTCCAAGACAGTGTGTATTAAAAAAGGATTTTGATAAAGAAAAATTATGAATTTATTATGTAAATTAATGGCTATAATACTAAGTCTTTGTGGTGTGAGGTGTTTTAGTTTTGTTTCTATTGTATAAAATTACTATTTACTATTGAAGTGAGCCCCTATTTGGGTCAACATTTGTGTTTAATGTTGGGAAAGTTAGGAAGCTTTATATTTGAATTTTCTTTTTGAAGCTAAATTCTACTTCAAAAATAAAATGTCTTTTTTTCCTATTACTGTACTATACACACCAAAACACTTCAAATTATAAGTAAGTAGAGGTGATTGTGATTGGAACCTCCCCTTGTGCAGGTTATTTAAATCCTAGTTTCACTAACTGCAATTTGTGGTACTGGGCACTAGTGTTAATAACATACCAAGCAAGATGAGAAAGATTTGTATTTTTTCCACTCACTAATGCTTCCAGTGCCTCAGGAATAGGATATAGTTTTCATGATGTGGGCCTTGTTTTCTTACATAGTAATTTCCTTGATTAAGCTTAAGATTTTTGGAAGATACCGCATTTGGATGATTGGCTCCAACTCTACTAATTTTCTTCCAATTTTTTTTTTTTACCTCAGGTGTTATTGATCCTTTATATTAGTTTTGGTTATTGCATTGTAGACAGATGTATTGACATCAGATTATATATACATTTAATTATATCTGCCTATCAATAAACTAAGGAAATGTCTCTTTTTTTATTTCATTTCGTCCTGATTTTCTTATTTAAATTAGACCTAAGCCTCCAATGACTCAGAGAAAGGAAATCCATATTAACTGTAAAGCCAAAAGAAAAACAAAAGACATTTCTTTGCATTTGAACATAGAAGATAATAATGATCATTAGATGACATGAGAATACTTTCTCTATGTTCTTAATTCTGTGTTGTCTACATGCCTTCTCTTCTAATTTTCAACAGTCCTCTGAGTTGAGTACCTCTATCCATATTTACAGATAACGCAGTAGACAAAAAAGAGGTTAAAAACTGTGCTCAAGGTCATACATATAGCCAAACCACACTAAATGGTAATGGAAATTAAAGGGACTATAGAAAGATAATTTTGAGATTTTTGCCCAATGAAATGACTTTAGAACCCAGTCCCTCAATATGATTTTGATTTTTTTTTAATAGTATGTGAATACAGTACATAATGATTACTTTTTTTTTCTTGTTGTGTAGCCCAGGCTGGCCTTGAACTCACGGCAATCCTCCTGCCTCAGCCTCCTGAGTGCTGGGATCAAAGGCATGTGTCACCACACCTGGCAATGATTACATTCATTGTGGGGAGTTGGTACACGTATACAACACATTTCAATTATTTTTTATATCATTTTGTAATTCATTGTTGATTTATAGTTACAAAAATCTTGATCATGAAAGTTTTCTAAGAATGGACTCTAACCTACCTTTCCTTCCTCTCTCCAAAGAATAGTGCCAGTGTCTAGACATGGTAGAAAAAAACCTCCGTTCTGGGACATAGACTTTCTTTTTCTGTTTCTCAGTTGTGGAATATGTCATACATATCAAACATGTACCATTTAAAGAATAATTATAAAACCAACACCTGATTATGCCCAAGCTAAATTCTTTAGACTCTGCCAATTCTTTAGACTTCTCTGCATTTCTTCCTAATATCTTCTCCCTGTCTATTCCAGAGTCATTCTTTTTATGGCCTTGGGGAAATATATTCCCTTACTTGTCTCTAGAACTTCATTATTTATGTACCTGTATATAAAATAGAATAATATTTTGTTTGGTTTTTGAACATTATCATAAGTGAATGTCATAGTGTACAATTCTCTTTAAATTTGCTTCTCAGAAATTTTCATTTGGAATAAATAATTCAAAATAATTATTTTAGCTTTTAACTCATGTATAGACACATTGATATCTGTAGTTTTGTAAAATATAATTTGTAATAGAGATGAGATACATATTTACTCTCACCCCTCCCCACTTTAGTTATTGTAGCTTTAATAGACAGAATGGGAGATGCCAAAGACAAAGTCCGAGATGAAGCTCAGACTCTGATATTGAAGTTAATGGACCAAGTAGCACCGCCTATGGTAAGCCTACTTGTTAAAAAAATACAGGTTTTTCTAATGAGGAACTGTCAGTAAAGATAGATGGTAATCACAGCAAGTTAGTAAAAGCTATAGGAGGCATGAAAGCTGAAATTTTAAATAGTGAATTATTGCTGATGCTTTAAAGAAGTTGAAATTTAAGCAACAGTGTTAATATTTAATTTTTGTTTTTTTCTTTTCCCTTTTTTTTCTACTATTATGCTTCTTAAAAAACTTAACTTATAGACTAAAGCAATTTAACACTGTACTAATTATATCCAGGAATTTCTGGGTTTCCTTGCAAACTAAAATATTTAACAAGAAAGCTTATTTAGAAGACTACAGAGTGTCATATTAATTCTTGTAATTCTTAAGAGAGGAAGAAATTATTTTAACAGGTAGATACTAATTGTATAAGGCCTATACTCTTATGACAAGAATGGGTAATTTATGAATACAATAGAAATAATTTGTTCTTATGGAATGTATTATTCTGTTTTGTCACTATAACAAAATACTTGAGGCTGGATACTTACAAAGAAAAGAGATTTATTTAGCCCACAGTTTTGGAGGTTAAAAGTCCATAGAGCATAGCTCAGGCCCCCGTGGTGAATCACTTTATGGTGGATGATGCCAAAATGACAGGAATGTACCCCATACACAGGAAGGATAGGAATGACACAAAGGTGGATGCTGTCCTGACAGGGCAAGAGGAAGCCCAGAGGGAGGAAAAGTGGCTTTTCCTCCGGTGTCCTACACAGCCCCTCCTCTTAAAGTTCCCACCATCTATGTCAACATTACCACACTGAGAACCAGGTCTTCAGTACATGAATCCTTGGGTGACAGACCTCATGCAAACTATGTCATGGAGATATTTTTGGAAGGAGAATAAAGGATGTATGAACAAAGATTGAGAGAGCAGTTCCCATGGAAAAAAATCAGAATGGATAATGATATATAGTGATATCATAGGATGCTTAAAATTATTAAGCATATTTTTTATAAAAGTCCAAAGTATATTGAATTGTGGAAGTGAACTGCATCCCACTATTTTATACCTTAGAACTAAATCTCTATAGCTTGGTAGATACTCTTTAAAAAAAAATTTTTTTTTAAACAAGTCTATGTTGCATAGGCTGGTCTTAAACTACTAATTCTTCTTCCTCCGCCTGCAGAATAGCTAGAATTACAAGGTTGCACCGTCCCAACCCAGTGGTTGATGCTTTTTGATACACATTAAGTGATTTACATTTTAAGTTTTTTTTTAATTACAAAGAGCACCATAAGAAGCATCTTTGTACATGTATCTTTGGATATAAATATTTTTATAGACTAGAATTCCAGAGATCATGTTGCTGAGTCATACTATTCAATTTTGGGGTTTGGTGCTATGTTTTTATTTTTGCTTTTCCACTGCTGTGGACTGGACCTAGGTCCTTAGAGAAAGAAGTATATTAGTAAAGCTTAATACATACTAAAGAAAGAATATTGAGTCCAGAAAGTGGGCTGGTGGGGGGGTGGGGAGAATGGGAATTTGATAAATGGTAAAGGTCATTTTTCCAAATGTGTAAAAAAGGATTGATTTGGTTATTTGAGTATCAGTTGGATGATTGGAAAAGTAAAGTTGGATTCCTTGTTAAACCAAACTTAAATAATTATTTTTCATTGTTTGAAGTTTATCTATAAAGAAAGCATACATTTTGCACTATAGATAAATGTAAACAAGTAGTCATAAAATGAGGTATATCAAAATTATCCTTTGTGTGGATGTCGTATTAAAAGGAGAAATACCTCAACTATAATGCCATATGTTGAAAAATTCTGTTCTATTTATGTGACGATGTGTAGTAGTTGTTAGGTAGTGTTGGGTCTTTTAAATGCTTACTAGACTACAGGACTTGGAATGGTAGCATTGTTATTGAAGGTTTCTAAAGCATACAAGAAATCCTGTGTCTTTGGAAATGCTAAGATTTTTAGGGTTTGGATATGTTTTTTATGACAATAATTGAAATTTAAAGTGAAAAAAAATCTAAAAATGTAATGAATGGCTAGGAAGAATGGCAGTATAAATTTGACTTTGTAAACTTGTAAGTCCAAATTGAACATCCTTAATTCAAAAACCCAAAATCCAAAAATGTTCCAAAGTCCAAAATTCTTTGAGCATTGACATAATACCATAAATGGAAAATTTCATACCTGACTTCAAGTGACAGGTCACAGTCAAAATACAAGTACACTGAAAATGATGTATAAAAAATTACCTTCAGGCTATGTATATAAAATGAATGTGAAACATAAACGAGTTTGTGTTTGGTCCTATCTATAAGGTTGCCTATAATGTGTAAATGCAGATATTTTAAAATCTGGAAAAAAAAATCTGAAATCCAAAATATTTCTGGAATGAGGTGTTTCAATAAGGGATGCTTGGCCGGTAGTAGAGAAATGGAATTTGATGAGAAAATTCAATTATTAATGAAGTTGGTAATAAGGTTGGGAAGAGTTAAAATATTATAACATGCATAATTTAATTTTTTGTTATACCTGTACTTTTCTTTCAAATAGTTCATTTGGGAGCAGTTGGCTTCTGGTTTTAAGCACAAGAATTTTCGATCTCGAGAAGGCATTTGTCTGTGTCTTATTGAAACCTTAAACATGTAAGTTTTACTGAAAATGCAAGGTCAATAAAAACTATGAATATAAACTTTAAATAGTTTTTTGGTTTTGATTTTTTGTATAGGGGATCGAACTCAGGACCTTGTGCTTGCCAGGCATAGGTGCAGCACCACTGAGCCACATCCCCAGCCCTTAAGTAATTATTAATTGATCTCTAGCACAAAATTGATTGCTAACATTTACTGTTTTTTGTAAAAGTATGTATGTTATCTTTTGAGTTGTTAATTTAAAAATTGTTAGTTATAAGAAATGTTTCTCTTCTTTACTATGTTAATTATAGCTACCATAGAACTGATGTATGTGTTGATAACTTAGGATCTGAGCTCTGGATTCAATTTGGCATTGTTTTTAACTCAATGGTATCTCATGTATTGTAGCCCCACTTCCCAAATCTTCCCTTTTCCAGTTGGCCCTAGGCTCCCTGGAGTACTGTGGATGGCTACCAAATCATACCCTGAACAAGACTCCTGGGTAAACTAAGTCTGGTAGCAGTGTGCAGAGTTCTAACAGTATTGATGTCACAGAAATATGAAGAAGATTCTGAAGAAATGTAAACTGGGACTTTTGTTCTCATTCTGGACTAGTATTTTCAGGTTTAATACAATATGATAGGTAATATGTAGTAGCTTTCAACTTTCCTGTAGTGTTACTTCTTTTTTAATATTTTATTTTTTACTTTTAGTATACTTTCATTTATTTTCTTTTTCTGCTCTGTAGTTCATACTTCATCTAAAGCTTGTAAGTATGTTCAGTCAGTACAGTCTTTGTGAGTTTTGGTTCTCCTGTCATTTGCTTTCAACCTGTGACTTCATCTGAGTATTAATAAGTCTAAAGATCTTTTCATTTACTTATTTTATGTTTATTTGAAATCCACAGTCTGAAAACCCATTTTAAAAGTGAATGCTCTTATTTCTTAAGCAATTCATAGGTTGCTAGGGTTAAAAATGACACTGGTTGAGCATTTTGCTATTTTGGATCATGTGTTAATTTTCAGTATCAGTCATGATTATTTACGTTTGTATATTTCATATTGTTTAGAATTAGATTTTGCTTGTTTCTTGTACCTTTCATGTTTTAATGATGTGTGCACATCCTTTCCACCATAATTGTCATATCAATATAGACAAGAAGAGGCATGAGGATATTTTACTTATGATTTAATTAAAACCAATTCTCTCTCTCTTTTTTTTTCTCAAATTATATTTAGTTTTGGGGCTCAGCCCCTTGTCGTCAGCAAGTTGGTACCTCATTTGTGCATCTTATTTGGAGATTCCAACAGCCAGGTAAAATATTATTTGCATTCAGGCATTGACTGATTTTTTTTTCTACCCTTTCTTTTCTGTGCTTTTATCCCAATGGGGGGGTGGTAGTAAAATCATGATTTTCCTTCATTTTTAAATATATACCAAAGATGCTTTTTAAAAAATTCACGTAAGTTGCTCATTGTCGTAGTTTGGCTAGTACCAAGTATAAATGGGGACTTAATGGCTGTTTCTTGAGTTTGAGTTAGCTGGTAGCCAAGTTTAAGGTAGAAAAAGAAACAGGCTCTGCAGAGTGAGTTTGGGTCAAGTTAAAGAAAAGAAGTACACCCTATAGCAGGAAGGTGGTCCACCATGCAAGAGCAAACAGTGGCAAATATGGACTGTCCTTTTTGTGTTACCTACTCATCAGGCTGGCATCAGGTCTAGGCTGTCCTACCTAAAACCTGCTTTGGTAGCCAAGTTTAAGGTAGAAAAAGAAACAGGCTCTGCAGAGTGAGTTTGGGTCAAGTTAAAGAAAAGAAGTACACCCTATAGCAGGAAGGTGGTCCACCATGCAAGAGCAAACAGTGGCAAATATGGACTGTCCTTTTTGTGTTACCTACTCATCAGGCTGGCATCAGGTCTAGGCTGTCCTACCTAAAACCTGCTTAAGTTCTTGGAAGAAGTCTATGCGCAGGGCTTTGGGAACTATTTTGCACATGTGTTCCTGGATCTTGTCATGCCTTCTTACATAGCCAGTTTTAGTCATGTTTTACCTTCCTGTCTCATTCCCCCTGAGAGACACATAGTCCCATAATCTGTATGTTAGTTGTGAGAACAGGTTGTTAGCTTCTTTTATTCCTGAATATTGTTGCATAAAAAGGTCTCGCTGTGCCCAGCCTGGTCTCAAACTTGTGGCTCAAACAAACTTCTGGCTTCAGCATCCTGAGTAGCAAATACCACCACACCCACTTGCATAAAAACCTTGCAATATTCATTACCCTATGTGACAGGATTGTGTTAGTGGTACGTCTGTTAGACACTTGTTTACCTGAGCTACCTGTACTATAAATAATACAAAGATGTGTTCTGGATCCCATTCCTCCTGGTGAAGTTGAACATTCCCTGTTATATTTTTGCAAGGGTTGGGCATTTCGAATGAACTTGAGTAAGATTTCCCCATATTTCAGGTCCTGACTCCCCCTTGACAGGTTTGTAGTTCTACTGTCTCTGTGAGATAGGGTTTCTTTCTGTTGCCTAGGCTGGCCTTGAACTCCTGGGCTTAAGTGAACTCCTAGGCTCCTTGAACTCCTCCTGCCTCAGCCTTCTGGAAAACTGGGAGTACAGATGTGCAACACCATACCTGGCTTTTAGTTACTCTTTTAATAGTGAGCTGTGCAAGGAAACTGAAACTGTCTTTCAGATTCCTCCTTTTTGGGTCACATTTTGTTTTTGCTTTTTTTCTTTTTATTTATTTATTTATTTATTTTTGGTACCGGGGATTGAACTCGGGTCCTTGCACTTGCAAAGCAGGCCACCGAACCGCTGAGCTAAATCCCCGGCCCTATTTTTTTTTTATTTCTGATAAAATAGACACAATATAAAACTTAACATTTCAACCTTTTATATTTCTTGTACTGGGGATTGAACTCAGGAACTTGTGCTTGTGAGGCAGGTGGCAGCACCACTGAGCTAAATCCCAAGCCCCATTTCAACTACTTTTAAAGTATATATATTTCAGTATTGGTAGATACATTCAGATTGTTAGGTGTCTATCCACACCATGCATTTGCACATTTTCAACTTTCTAAACTGAAACTCTGTACATGTTAGCAACTTCTTCCCTTCCTTCAGCTGCTGGCAATCACAGTTCTACTTTCTGTATGATTTCAGCTACTCTGAGTTCCTCATAGAAGTAGAATCAGGCAATATTTGTCTTTTTTTTTTTTTTTTTTCGCTACTGGGGTTCAAACTCAGGACTTTATGCTTGCAAAGCAGTCAGTGGCACCACTGAGCTAAATCCCTGGCCCAATATTTGTCATTTTGTACCTGACTTCATCTAACGTAATAGCCTCAAAGAGTTCATCTGTGATGTAACGTGTCAAAATTTCCTTCCTTTCTAATGCTGAATGATATTTGTTAATACACATACACATATCACATTTTGTTTATTCATTCAACTGTGGATGGACATTTGAGTGGTTTCTACCTTTTGATTATATGAATACTAGTAAAAATATCTGTTTGAATTCAGGCTATATTCTTTTGTTTTGTTTTTTGAGACAGGGTCTATCTGTCTGTATGATCTATCTATCTATCTGATCTGGAACTCATGATGTAGCCCAGGCTGTTCTCGAACTCAGAGCTATCCTCCTGCCTCAGCCTCCTGAGTGCTGGGATTACAGGCATCTGCCATCACACCCAGCCAGACTATATTCTCAAAATCCAGTGTTGTTCCAGTAAAATAAATTAGCAATAATTTATATTAATTATTGATAATTGTTTGCATCTTATTACAAATAGTTTTTTTTCAAAGGCCAAATTAATAACTTCTATTCACAAGTTTCTTAGATTTCTGTAAAACCTAGGTTTTTTTCTAGAGGTTTCTTTGTGAATCCTTGTTTTTCTGTTAATGACATGCCATAATTTCTCTGGGGCATTAAAACCAATTTGGAGATTCAGGTTGGTCTACTAGTATGATGTTACCTTGAGGTAAAGATTTTATCATATACAAATTTCTTTAAAACTTTTGAATTCTCTGACAGGTGAGAGATGCTGCAATATTGGCTATTGTAGAGATTTATAGACATGTGGGAGAGAAAGTGAGGATTGATCTTCATAAGAGAGGAATTCCCTCTGCTAGGTAAGTTTTGCTAAATTTATTTTTTTGCTCCAAATTTTAATTTCTTTTTTTTATTAATACATGTTTGTAGTACATAATGATCATTTTTATCATGGGGAATTGATACATAGGCATCATTTTTTAAAATGTTTTAATTTCATTTATTTGAAAATGGTTCATTTCTCTGGTGTGAATAATCTCTGCAATAATACATGAGATCCTAATAAGATTACTGACATTGAGAAATGGGAAGAAAGGAGCTAAAGGAGTAGGGAAGGTGTGATGGGCAGGGGAAGGGTAAAAAGGGAAAAGAAAAAAATGTGAGATAATGAAAGGATGGAAATAAAGTGGTTGTAGATGGGGAGGGGAGGAGGGGGTGAAGGGAGGGCAGGGACAAGGGGAAAAAATGAGAATCAAGACTTGTCATGTAGAGGTACAAGATCCCAACAATGAATGTAACAGTACTCTATACCTAAAATGTACCAGTAAACTCAATTAAAGCTGGAAAAAAAATTTTTAAAAAAAGAAAATGGTTCAAGTTTTCTAAATGTTTTTATATTACATTCAAAAGATATAAAAGAATATATATGCATGTGCATATATACTAGCACCATTTAAATATTGCTATAAATATACTGTAAATATTGTGTTCAGGTTTTTGTTTGGGCCTGAGTTTTCATCTCTTTTTGTAAGTAGCAAGGTGTACAATTGTGTTGAATGGTAGGGTATGTTTATTATTTTGCAGTGCTGAGAATTGAACCCAGGGCTTTGTGCATGCAAGGCAGGACCTCTACCACCTAGCCACATCCCTAGCCTGGGGTAGGATGTTCCATCTTTTAAGAAACTGTGAGCTGTCTTCCAAAGTGGCCGTCCCATTTTGCATTCCCACCAGCAATGAATGAGAGTTCCTGTTGCTCCATAGCTTTGCTAGCATTGAGTATCATCATTGATTGAGTGAATGAGTGATTTTCTTGTGGTACCAGAGATCCAGCTCAGGACCATGGGCTTAGGAGGCAGGCGCTGTGCCACTGAGCTAAATCCCTGGTCCCTCAGTGTTTTAGATTTGGTTATTTTAATAGGTTTGCCATGGGGTCTTTTTTTTTTTTTTTAAATTTGCATTTCTCCAATGACCTGTGATAACATCTTTTCATATGCATGATTGCTATTTGAATATCTTCTTTGGTGAAATGTCTGTTTAGATGATGTGTCAGTTTTTAAATTTGGTAGTTCATTTTCTTATTATTGTAGAAGTTTTTTGTGTAATTTGGGTAGCAGTCTTTTGCAAATATTTTATTCTCGAGTGTGCCTTGCCTTATTTTCTCTTGACAGTGTTCTTTGCAAGGATAAGATTTTAGTTTTAATGAAATCTAGCTTATCAGTTATTTCCATAGTGGATGTCATATTTAAAAAGTCACCAGTAAACCCAGTATCACCTAGAGTTTATCCTCTTTTCTGTGCATTTTACAGCTTTTTGTTTTACATTTAGTTCCATGAACCATTTTGAGTTAATTATGAGGAATAAAAGGTCTTTACCTAAATTCATTTATTTATATATAAATGTACAGTTGTTCCAGCACCATTTGTTGAAAAGACTATCTTGATTGTATTGCCTTTGCCCATTTTTTCAAAGATCATTGACTGTTTTTGTTTATGTAGGTCCCTTTTTGGTCTCTTTTCTATCTGTCCATTTGTCTATTCCTTGTCAATACCACACTGCTTGTAGCTTTATAGTGATGATGGTGAACTTTTAAGAGCTTTCAGTGATACAAATATCCTGCTGTAGCACACACGCTTGCCACCACTGCTTTATAGTAAGAATTGAAATCGTGTAGTCTTTCAACTTTGCTTCTCATCTTCAATTTTTTTAAAATTAGTACATGTTTATAATACAGAAGAGTGATGTTTGCTTTGGGAAATTGGTGTGTGCATATAACTTAATCATTTTCATTTCCTTTATCCCCCTTTCCCTTTCCTTTTCCTTATCTCAATCCCCTTCCTTCTTTCCAAGAATCTACCTTCTAGTTTTCTGTCATCTCTTCATTTTATTCATTTATATATATATTCATATTTTAGGTTTCTCATATAAGAGAAAACAAGATAATTAACTGAGTCTGACTTAGGTCCCTTAGCATGATGGTCTCTAGTTCCATTCATTTTGCCTATAAATGACATGATTTAATTCTTCTTTATGGTTGAATAATGTTCAAATGTGTATATACATATTATACATATATGTATGTATATATACACATGCATATATATATGTATACACACACACACACACATATATATATATCACATTTTTTTATTCATTCATTTGTTGATGGGCATCTAGGTTTGTTTCCAGAGCTTAGCTATTGTGAATTGTGCTCTTATAGATATTGGGCATAGATGATTACAATGGTATGATCTTTAAATCCTTTGGGAATATACCTGAGAGAGGTATAGCTGGGTCAAATGATATTTCTATTTTTAGCTTTCCTCTTTGAAAGCTATTCTGAGTCTTTTGCCTTTCCATTTTAGTTTTAGAATCTGTTGATAAATGCTGACATATTGATTGATACTGCATTGAATTTATATATTAAGTTGAGAACTGATATCTTGACAATATTCAGTCTTCCTGTCCATCAAATATGGACTATATCTCTATTTCATTCTTTTTCATCAGTTTTGTACGTTTCTCATATAGTTGTTGTGTATACTTTGTTAGTTTTATACTTGACTATTTCATTTTTTGGGGTGCTAGTATAAGTACTTTTCAAAAATTTAAAATTCCCCTTGTTCAGTGTGCATGGATAGTTGGCCCTCTGTATCCATTTGGTTCCAACTCCAGATACAAGTAGCTAGATTGAAAATATTTGGGAAAAAAATTGTATCTGTACCAAACATGTACAGACTTTTGGGGGGGGAGGGTCAGTATTCCCTGAGCAATACTGTCTAACAACTATTTACCTAGCATTTAGATTGTATTGGATAAGTAAACTAGAGATGCTTAATGTATACAGGAGGAGTTGAGTATATTATATGCAAATGCTGTGTCATTTTATATAAGGGACTCAGGCACCTGCACTTTTTGTTATCCAAGGGGGTTTACTGGAATAATTCCTGTGGAAATACCAAAGGAAGGCTGTATAGGAAGGCAGTTGACCTAAGTGTCCTGAAACCTTGCTACATAACTGATTATTAGTTCTAGAAGATTTTTTGTCAGTTCATTTGGATTTTCTCCGTAGATAATCATGTCATTTGTAAACAAAAAGGTTGTCTTACTACTTTTCTTGTCTTAGTTAGGACTTCCAGTATGATGTTAACAAGAATTTTCAAATAGAGACATTCTTGCTTTATTTCTGATCTTATTGAGAAATTTTCTAGTTTATTTTCATTAAGTTGTGATGTTAGCATTAGGTGCTTTTGTTCCTGTTTTTGTTTGTTTGTTTTGTTTTGTTTTAAATCAGTTTGAGCAAGTTTTCCTCTGTTCCAATTTCACTGAGTTTTATTTTGTTTGTTTTTTAATCTGTCATGAATGGATTTTGGGTTTTTGTTCTTTTCTTTTTTGCACTGTTGACAGGATCATATGAATTATTTTTATAATGTCTATGGGATCTGTAGTGATCCCCTTCTTTCATTTCTGATATTAGTGATCTGTATCTTCACTCTTTTTTAGCCTTACCCTGGAGGGCTCTCACTTTCATTGATCTTTTTTTGTTTTTTTTTTGAGACAGGGTCTCACTATGTAGTTGAGACTGACCTGGAACTCACTATGTAGCCCAGGCTGGTCTTGAATGCACAGTGATCCTCCTGTCTCAGCCTCCCAAGAGTGCTGGGGTTACAGGCTGCGCCACCACGCCTGGTTCATTGATCTTTTTAATGAATTAGCTTTTGATTTGTCTCTATTAATTTCTTGTTTTAAATATCACTGATTTCTTTTTCTGCCTATTTTGGATTTTTATTTACTGTCTTCCACTGTTTCTGTAGCATCCATTGTTGATTGTCTTTAAAATTGAGTAACATTTAAAGCTGAGTAAATTTGTTTGCGTTTTTCCTTCTTTCTTAGCACATCATTTATACACTTAAAAAAAGATTTTAAGTGATTTTTTGCAGTATACATCTACAAGTAACTCAAGTCTGTTTCCAAATACACCACTTCATAGATAGGGCGAATACCTTATGACAAAATAATCCTAAATTTCTCCCTCTCATCCCTTGCATATTACTGTCATTTATTTTACTTCCACATAAACATATATGAGCATGTGCACACATAAATAAGTATACATAGTGGATTAACTTTTGCTGTTACTATTTTTTAGAACCTGTTGTCTGTTAAATATATTAATAATTTTTTTTTAAATGATGGCTGGGGATGTAACTCTGTTGTAGGCTGTGTGCCTAGCACATGTAGGATCCTGGGTTCGATCCCTAGCACTATAGGGAAAAAGAATAAAGATGAAAACAAATTTTTTTCCTCCTTATGGTACTGGGATTAAATCCAGGGCCTTCTCATTGAGCTATGTCCCTAATCCAGCCCCTTGATGCCCACCCTTCTTTTTTTTTTTTTGGTTTTTTTGAGACAGGGTCTCACTACGTAGTTGAGACTGACCTGGAACTCACTATGTAGCCCAGACTGGTCTCGAGCTACAGCGATCCTCCTGCCTCAGCTTCCTGAGTGCTGGGATTACAGGCTTGCGCCACCACACCCAGCCCCTCTTTTTAAAATTAAATTTTGAGACCATGTCTGGCAGAGTTGCCCAGTCTTTGATTGAACTTGAAATCCTCCTGCCCTTGCTTCCTGGAGTGCTGGGGAAAGTTTTTAATTTACTTTATTTCATTGCATTTTTACTTACCTTCTCTGATGCTCATTTCCTTACTGGTTTCCAATTAGATCTGAGTTTCTGATCTGTATAATTTTCCTTCTTTTAAAGAACTCCTTTTTAACATTTCTTATGAGGAATAATTTACAGGTAACAGAGTCTCTTGTTTTTGTTTATTTGAGCAAGTCTTCAGTTCTCTCACTTTTGAAGGATAGCTCCACTGGGTACAGAATTCTAGGCTGATGGATTTTTTTTTTTCTTTTTACTCTCTTTCTGCTTATATGTTTTCTGAGATTTGGGAGTACTTCTCCCTGTGTAAGTACAGTGGCACCCCCCCCCGCCTCCCATCTTCTTTGAATATCTTTTTCTTTATCTTTGGTCTTCTGTAATTTGAGTGCAATATGCTTAGATATAGTTCTTCTGGCATTTATCTTGCCTCATGTTCTATGAGATTTCTGCTTTTGTGATTTGGTAGGACATTAATTTGGGAAAAATTCGGTGTTATATTTTTCTTAAAGTTTTTTTTTTTTTTTTTTTTTTTTTTTTTTTTTTTTTTGGTACTGGAGATCGAACTCAGGACCTTGCACTTGTGAAGCAGGTGACGGCACCACTGAGCTAAATTCCTGGCCCTCTTTTTTGTTTTTTTTTTTATTCCTGTTATGTGTATGTTATATCTTTTGTAATTGTCTTACCATTCTTTTTCATTCTGTTCTTTTTTTTCCCCCTTTAGCATTGGAGAATTTTGTTGTGATGTCCTCAAGCTTACAGATTCTTTTCCTCTGGAATGTTCAGTTTAAAAATAAGTCCCTCTCCAAGAAAAAAATGGAAACAAAGTCTTTGTAAATAGGGAAGGGTGGAGGGGGTTAAAGGGAGGGCGGGGGTATGGGGAAAAAATGAGAACCAAGATCTGTCATGTAAGGATACAAGATCCCAATGATGAATGTAACTGTACTGTATACTTAAAAAGTACCAATAAACCCAATAAGATTTTTTTAAAAAATGTCCCTCTAGGGCTGGGGATTCGGCTCAGTGGTTCTGCACCTGCCTCCCAAGGTCCTGAGTTTGATCCCTGGTACCAAAAAAAAAAAAAGGTCCCTCTAAAAACATTTTTTATTTGTTACTGTTTTTGATCTCTTTTCTCTTTTTTGTTTTTAGACTTTCTGTATCTCTTTTAGTCATATGTTTGTCTACTGTATTCATTGGAGCCCATAGCATATTGTCATAGTTTTTAAAAATTGTTAGTCTGATAATTCTAACATACCTACATATTTGAGTCTGATTGTTACTATTTCTTCATACTATACTGGAGTTTGTTGTTATTTTGCCTTTTAATATGCCTTATGATTTTTCGCTTTTGTTAAAACTGAACATGATGTACCAGGTAGAAATAACTGCCCCGAACAGGATTTAGTAGTATGATGGTAAAATGGGAGGGGGAATGTTGCATAGTTCTTCAAACAGTGTTTTAAGTAGCAGTGTTTCATATATTTATTCCATTTGGAGTTGTTATTTTGTCCTTTTTTGTACCAGGGATCGAAATCAAGATCTTGTACTTGTGAGGCAGGCAGTGGCACCACTGAGCTAAATCCCTGGCCCTTTTGTACATTTTTAAAATTAGATTATTTGTACTTTTAAAAAAATTGATTTGTGGAACTACATTATATGCTGTGGGTACAAATCATTGTGGAACATACTTATATATTCTGGGTACAAACCATTGCCAACTATATGTTTTAAACATCTTTTCCCACTCTGTTACTTACTTTTTCTGCATGTGAGTGCTGCTAGGGATTGAACCTATGGCCTTGTACATACTAGGCAAGTGCTCTCATTTTGGAATATGAAAATATTGTAAAACTGATTGTCACATAGTTACATAGTTATTCGTAGTTACACAACTCTGTAGACATACTGAAAAACCATTGAATTCTGTACTTTGTGTGGATTTTTTATTAGGGTTTTGGTTTTTTTTCCACTTTTTTTGTGCAGTAGATTGAATCCAAGAACTTGCACATGCTAAGTCAAATACTCTATCATTGGATTACACCCACAGGTCTGACTTACAGTTTAATAAAGTGACTTGTACATGATGTAGAGTCTATTTCAGTAAAGTGATTATTTAAAGAATAGGCTTAGAGCTGGGCATATTGGTACATGCCTATAATTCCACCTATTTGGGAAGCTGAAGCAGGACAATCACATTTGAGGCCAGCGTGGGCAACATAGCAAGAACTTGTCTCAGAAAAAAGTTAATATCTGAGTTATCTAAGCATATCTTTTATATTTTACTCGTGATATTATTCTCATTGTAAACTTACAAATGGACTTTGGTTAAAGTTGCTTTTCTGTTTTCCTTACTCTATGAATCAGCACTGTCCTAGAGCTTTACTGATCTCCTAAACTGTGTTTATATTCTTTTGGGAAACCTTGCCTGTGTTATAGTTTCCTTCCACTGAATCTGCTATGTTATCTTCCTGGATTATTTGAAAGGTCTTAGATTCTTCTTTCTGTTTCTAAATTTTCTTTCTTTTTACCAGATTATGTGTACAATGCTTCTGTTATAAAATTGCTTTTTAAAATAGATATGTGGAGCTTAATGGTTGGGGGTTGGGAGTACCTAATGAGGGTTACATAGAAAGAAACCTACACTGTTTCTCACTGTTTAAAGTTAAGTGTGGGGCCGGGGATTTAGCTCAGCGGTTCGGTGGCCTGCCTTGCAAGCACAAGGACCCGAGTTCAATCCCCGGTACCAAAATAAATAAATAAAGTTAAGTGTGAATTTGCCTTTTATAAAATTTTGAATAAATACCAGATGCAAGTTACATTGCTGTTTTACATGAAAGTCGATAAAGTGAGAAGAATTTAGAAGGAAAGGGAGACTTGAGAAGATAGTCAGGCAGTCATATGAAGAGCACACATAATATGAGAACTAACAGCAAGATGAAGAGTATGCGATACAGCATCTTCTCAGTGTGTCTTCCCAGCCCAAAGTTGGCCAAGAAACATTTGGGTAGTGTCTTCCAAACTGACCACTGTTTCTTCTTCTCCCCTGTTCTTGTTATATTTATCTACTGTTTCAATTGTCTTCTCTTTCCAATAAAGCTGCCTACGTAACTATTCATTGCTTAATGTTTTACCTGCCCTGCCTCAGTTTCTTGCCAACCCTCTTTTTTGAGCTTTCTGTCCTAAATTTTCTATTCCCATTTTCTTACTCTATAGCTTAGTGTTAATCTTATGCTTCTTCTTTTTCCTTTCTTTTTTCTTTCTCTCTCGTTAAAAGGTGCTGGTATTGAACCTAGGTTCTCATTCATATTAGGCAAGCACAGTACCACTGAGCTACATCACCAGTCCATTCTCATGCTTCTGAACATCTTATTCTGCATTTTTTTTCCTTTCTCAAACAGTTTTCCTCAGTCCTCTCCTTTCTGTCCCTTGCCTATCTGGATTTCGTTCTGAGGGCCAGCTTCCAATTCCTGTGTTCCCTTCTGTTTCATGACATTTTTGGGCAGCCTGACTTGTGTCTGTTCAGCCCTCAAGAAGATTCTACTCTGTAGAATGAAGGATCCTGTGTCTTTCCACTAAAGTACTTTCAGATGTGTAACTAGTTGTATTTGTTGAATTAGTAGGGATAGGAGGTGAAGTTACAGTTTAGAAAATCCCTTAAAGGATTTTCAGATAATTTTTTTTTTAGTTAGTTATTACTGGAATTAGCTAATACAACATTTGTATTTGAAAAAGTATCTGTACCCTCAGTTTATTAATAAGAAATAACAGAATGTGGACCAAGGTTTAGGAAGGTTTTAGGAAATAAAATTATGACATAAACATAAGGGTAAGCCAGAGGAAAAACAGTTGTCTCGACAAATTGACAGAGACCCTCCTCCAATTCTCAAGTCTTAAAGTCATGAATTTAAGAATAAATCATAGTTTGATAAATTAGAAAATGAAAGAAAATGCAAGCATAAAAGGCTTTGTTGCATGATTCCATTTCATTCTGAAGAAAATTTTTATATGAATATACACTAAATACATCAGAAATGGTACAATAAGTTTAGGTGGTAGGAATGTACATTGTGTTTTTTATTTATTCCTATTTACATTTCCTAATTTGTACATTACTTTTATAATGAGGATTTGTTTGTATGTTTGTTTGTTTTTTGAGACAGGGTCTCACTATTTCAGGCAGGCCTCAAACTTAGAGTGATCCTCCTGCCTCAGCTTCCTGAGTGCTATGATTATAGGCATGTGTTACCCTATCTGGCTAAGAAACATACCTTTAACTAAAAAGAAGCAATAGCAGAAGTATAGAAAGAGTAGCTATCCTGAATATAAAATTGGTAGTGCCATTGAATTTGGTATGATGTGAAAATAGATCAATAGGGAGAGCATCAGATTATCTGTCATATCTGCATCACTTTCATTTCTAATATTTTACATTTCATTCTTTTTATGTTTGCCTTAAATTTCCTTAGCATGATTTTTATGTACTTTTAAAAGTTTATATTGGTGCCCAAATAGATTTTTAGAAGGTTGCAACTAGAAAGATTTTGCTGGATTTAGAGACTCAATTTTACTGCAAAACGGCTTATGTGAAAGTTGTCTTTTTACAAACATACCTGCAAGTATGTAGAGTTCTGTCTGTATTTGGCTTTTCCTCTCAACTGAAAACAGATGGGGTTTGTGTGGTTTGCTTTTTTTTTTTTTTTTTTTTTTTTTTTATTGTTTTTTGTTTTTTTTTTTTTTTTTTTTTTTTTTTAGTAAGTGAATTAATTGTTTAAAAAAGGCAAAGTTGTATAGAGAACTAGCTGGATCCCTAGAATTGTTTTTTCTAAGGAAGATGGTGGAAAAAATTGTTTTATTCATCTCTATATAAAAACCATTTATTCTTTATTCCCAGATTAGAAATGATATTTGCCAAATTTGATGAAGTGCAAAATTCAGGCGGTATGATTTTGAGTGTCTGCAAAGGTAAGCATAAGTTATTCCAGGTCTCAAACTAAAATGTATTTTCATACCAACTATTATATCACTAATATAGAAGAGTTGATTTTATAGCTGGAAAACTTAGTTGGGGTATAATAACAAAAATTTTATTGTTGATCACTACATATTCTGTTACTCATTTTCATTAATAAAAATTTAATAATGGATCTGTTGTGTAAAATGACATCATTCTTTTGCTCTCTTTTTATGTCTTCAATAATGAAATATTCCTCTTGATCTCCATGTTCCATGCATGAAATGCATTATTAATTCCCAGAGTAATTGTTTTTAGTAGAAATTGTATGCTACAGAGCCTCAGTTTCACCTGTAAGTAGATTCTCAGTGATGATACTGGTTGATAAACAAATGCAAAGAAATTTCACTAGAATAATAATTATCTTTAGCTTCTTAGATAGAATGAGATCAAGTTGGAATTCAGGGAGGCTTGACATTAACATCCTTGCCTACAGGTAAATTGGTATTTGTTAGACTTTGTGGTTCCTCTTCTTTATGTAAAGCTGATAAATTGTGTTTAATTTTATTGAGTAGCGTTTACCTGGACTTCAGTCTTTAGATATTAATTAGCCACATATGTGAAGAATATATTCTGTTTCCAAAGATAATATAGATTTTTTTGGTTCTACCTGGGAAAGAAGCTTCATATTAGACCACTAAGCTTGATAATGTAAATGACATTGGAGACATACATTTGGTAGATGAATTTATAGTCAAGTAATTGGAAAGCTGATTAAAAATATAATTTAAAGAATTTTTCTTTAGGTTAAGCCAAGATTGAAATTTGTTGTGGTGCAGGACATAAGATACAGTGGAATTTTAATGTTTTTGTTTCTAACCTAATCTAAATTAGTTCTGAAGCACAAATTGAGTTCTGTCTACAAGTTCTCACCCTCATTGCCTACTATTTCTCACTTCTCTTCTCTGAATAGAAAGTGTTTAAGTCTCTTGTCCTAATTTTTCCTAGCACTTACCTGTGTCCACGTCTATGGAAACCAAAAACAGCAGAAAAAGGAACAGTTGCTAAAATTCCTTGAACTGAGACTTGCATGTTTTTGTAATTTTCTTATTTGTGTATTCTAGATTATGTAGTTACAAGTCTTTTTTTGTTTGTTTGTTTGTTTGTTTTGTTGTTTGAGACAGGGTCTCACTATGTAGTTGAGACTGACCTGGAACTCACTATGTAGCCCAGGCTGATCTTGAACTCAGAGCGATCCTTCTGCCTCAGCCTCCTGAGTGCTGGGACTATAGGCATGTGCCACCACGCCCAGCTGTAGTTACAACTCTTAAGAAAAAATGTATGATATGTATTGTAAAATTTTAAGTCTTTTTTTGGATATGGTTTATTTTGAAAGCACTGTTATTTTTAAATGTAATGAGGTTATTTCTGTCACTATCAGAATGGCAGCTTGTTTTCTATTCCATATTTTCTTTCTTGTTTACCACTCCATAAACAGGGTCATTTGCGGGTATTTGACATTTTTTTCAGAAGGAGTCTCAGAGATCATATTAGAGATTATGATCTAAATGTTTCAAGTATAATCAGATGTGAAAGTTAAAGTGTATAATATACATAATAGGATGCAGAATGTAGTTCAGATGTTTTTGATGACAGTACAGTTGCCCCTGTATTCAGTTTCCATATCTGTGGATTCAGTATCCACAGATCCAGCCAACCACACATTGACAGTATAGTTAGGCCTACTTTATTTACCTCTATCTTGCACAAGTACTCAGTTTTCTTGTCATTATCCCCTAAACAATGTAGTATAAGAAATGTTTGTATGTAACAATGTTTAGGTATTACAAGTAAAGTATAAGATAGGATATGTGTAGATTATATGCAGATACTACACCAATTTTTTATTAGTATGTGTTTGTAGTACATGAAGTTTACATTCATCGTGAAGAGTAGGTACATGTATACATAACACAGCTTGTTTCTTTTTAATCCCCTTCCCTTTCCCACCCACCTCCCTTTCTCTCTCAATTCCCTTTCCTCATTTTCGTTCTTATTGTTTTATTATTCTTAGCTTGTGTCTATGACATAAAATGTTTGCATTCATTGTGGGGTTTTGGTACCTACCAAATCTAGTACACATCTTAAATCTTCTTACACTACACCATTTTATGTAAGAGACTTGACATTCTCAGAGTTTATTGTCCGTGGAGGGTCCCAGAATCAGTACCCTGTGGATACCAAGGGATGACTATATTATACTGTCATTGAAAAATACTTTAATGAATTAGTTAATGAAGGAGGGAACTAGAAGAAGGAAGCCCATTTATCATGTTGGCAGATCCTAGGGCGCAGAGCTCCCCACTCCCCACATCTCCTCTCCCTCCCTCCTTTCTTCTTTTCCTTTGTTGATAATTACCAGATGTATTCTTCTAGCTGTCCTTCATCTTTCCTTTATGCTCTAGTCTTGGTAGCTGTGGCCTGAACGCCATCTCCATTTGGATGTCTAATAGCCATTTCAGGCTTAACATAGCCAGAAATAAAGCACTGTTTTTATTCTTGCCTTTTAAATCTGTCTCTTCCTCAGTCTTATCCATTTTAGTCAGTGGTGCTACCATTGCCTCAAGTTAGAAACCTGACTTGATTCCCTATCTAACTAATAAATGGTTTCTGTCTCTGAAATACTAACATACCTTAATTTGCCTTTTTAAAAAAATCTCTCCTCCTAACATGATTTTCTTTAGTTTTTTTATCTGGATACTACTGTAAGACACTCCGTTTCTATGTTTGCCTCCTGGAATCCATTTGCTACCCAGAAGTTGGGGTGAATATCTTAAAATGTAAATTAAATCATGTGATAACAGTAAAGAAGATAATTTAGCCTGGTGTAGTGGTGCATGCCTATAATTCTAGCCCTTGAGAGGTTGAAACAGAAGGATTGCCACAAATTTGAGGCCAGCCTTAGCTCCATAATGAGTTCAAGGCAAGCCTGAACTACATAATGAGACCCTGTCTCAAAAAAAAAAAAAAAAAAAAAAGATAATTTAAAATTTCTACTCTTTGGATCCTATATCCTAGGCAGAGAGATGGATCATCAACAAGTAATCAAATGGATGTATGTGATTATGCTACATAATGGAGGAAAAACAACGATTCCTTGTTCAATAAATTTAAATTATTCCTAAAATCCCTGCTGCTAAGTTGGAGGTCATTAAATGAAAAAAATTATTTCCACTAATATTAATGACAAAAGTTGTGATATGGATCAGGTATAGTGGTGTGTGCCTGTAATCCCAGTATGTTAATCACCTTCCCTGTCAATGGGACACAATACCCACCACCTGCAACTTAAGGGAGGAGTGGTTTATTTGCTCAGTTAGGTTGGCTAGTGCCAAGACAGAAACAGCATGGTAGAAGGGCATGGAAGAGGAGAGGTGCTCAACCGTGGCAGGTAGGAAGCAGAGAGAAGGGAGGAGCCAGGCACAAGAATACACCCTTCTGGTTATACCCCTAGTGATCTGCCTCTAACCAGGCCCCACTCCTAGCAGCACAGTCAGCCATGAACTCATGAATGGATTAGTCCTCTGGTGAATATAGTACAGTGTTCCACATCCAATCACTTTTCAAAAACTCCACCTCAGAATACATTGGAGTTTTTGTGGGACATTTTAGATCTAAACTATGACATCCAATTATGGGAGAGACTAAGAAGCAGGAGGATCACAAGTTCAAGGCCAGCCTGGACAATTTAGTAAGACTGTCTTAAAAGGCGGTGGCAGAGTGGAGGAGCTGGGCTGGGGTTTTAGCTCAGTGTTCATCAGGCATAGAGGAGAAAGAAAGAGAAAGGAAGGAGGAAGGGAGGGAAGCAAAGAAGGAAAAATTGTGGTGTGTTTATTCTGACCCAGGATATTTGAATAAATTTCACAGATAGAAAAAATTTATCAATTGAATACTGAAAACAAGTTTTAACAAATGGCAGTTGGAAGACTGTATGTAAATATAATGAAAGTTAATTTAACTTTATTTTCTGCACTGTTTTTTTTTTTTTCCACAAATTTTCAGCCCTTAGTTGGTTTAGCTTTATCATACGTTCAAACTAAAGCTGTAACATTAAATTGTAGAACTGGAAAATATTTTAGGACAATATAAAAGCTCAGAATGAAGACTTGTGGAAATAGTTCAGCATACAACAGAATGAAGAGCTACCTTGATACTATTTCTCACTCTCCTTATATAAAGCAAATTATTGGGTTCATTCAGACATGGCCCACATTTCGTATTTGTTCCACATGATATTCTGTGACCAGAAACAATTAAGGTAAATAAAATTTTGTGTCTTGGTCTAAAGCCCTAATAATAATACTACACATCTTACAGTATATTGTTTAATATTTTGTGATGAAAAAGTCATTTTCTAATACAGACAACAAAGTTTGTAAAGGTGATACAACTTTTTTTGAGCCATTGTAAAAGTTATCATCTGAACAATCATTAAAGAAAATAAGGTATGAAAATTGTAAATAATTCAGTGATATCACATTAGATAGAATAAATAATGGGGCAAAACTTTTCTAAGAGGTGGCATATTTGAGTTGAGACCCAGTGAATGAGAATGAACGCTCATGAATGCAAGGTAGGAAAACACTTTGGCCAGAGAAAATAGTGACCATAAAAGCCCAGATATGGAAAAGGACTTGGCATATTTGAAGAAGAGAAGGAGGGTGGGGTTGCCTGGAGCCTGAGTGGTTAGGGTGCTTTAGATGGGAGATCATGTACTGAATAACTGGGGAAGTGAGCAGGAAGCATGACCGTGTGGACTGTAGGAGGAATTTTGATGGACTTCTAGAAGGAGGAACCCACGTGGCTTAATGTTATCTAGTTCCATCTGTTGTGTAGAGAAAGTCTTTATTTTACCATTTTTCCCTTATGTATGCAATGATACATAACTTTTATATCACTTACCTTTGTTTGATTTCTTTCACAATTGCCGTAGCTGAACTCTTGATCTAAG